GTGTGTGTGTGTGTGTGTGTGTGTGTGTGTGTGTGTGTGTGTGTGTGTGTGCGTGTGTATGGGTGTATGTGTGTATGTTGTAGGTGTGTGTATGAATGTGTGTGCGTGTGTATGAGTGTGTGTGTATATGTGTGTATGAGAGTGTATGTGTGTGCGTGCGTGCGTGCGCACGGGCGCGTGTGTTGTTCTATTAGGTTTGGCCGTGTTACATGATAATATCGTACATGTCACAAGACAAGAGCTCTTGTGTTACCGTAGCGGGCCTGGGAAAACGAGTATGAAAAATTAAAGTGTGTATGATATTGCGAGAGAGAGAGGGGAGAGAGAGGGGGGGAGAGAAGGGGGGGAAGGAGGGGGAAGTGGGAGGGGGAAGTTGGAGGGGAGGGGAGGGGGAGAGACAGACCGACAGACATCGAATGTGTCCCCTACAACAAGCCACAGTGCAGCGCCCAGACCCACGTAATGCGGGTTGTTTCTGCAGCTGTTGCAGTGGTAGTTCAAGAGGTCGTGGCTGTCATTGCTGTTTGTTGGTGGTGGCGGCGGAGGTATTTCTGATTTCATCACATGATCTGTACCACGGTCTCTGATCTGTACTACCGACGTGACGCGTGAGTGAGGTGAGCGTGAGAGAACAAATACTGCTGGTGGGTTGTGTGTGTGTGTAGTGGAGGGTTTGTACAATGAGTTAGAAAGATTAAACAAAGGTGTTTGAGTGTGTTTGTGTGCGGTTTAAAAAAAATATTTTTAGACCGTCCACGGTGAGGCACAGCTTCGAAAGACTTATTTGTTTTAGTAGAGGTTTTACGGCCCTCGCAATTGCATAAGGTCATATGAGTGCCAGAAGATTAGAGGTGTTACAATAGAGTACAAACATAAAAAAGAAGAAGGGGAGATAAGGACCACAGATGTTTGATAGGAAAGAAGAAGCAAACCACACCAGAGCACGCGTCAACCACCCATCAATGGTATAGAGGAGAAGATGAAAGTGAAGTGAAAAAAACTCAGTAACAACTAACCTGGAAGCTCCTTCTCAATCCTAAACTCCTCGGAGAAGAACCAGCGACAGTTGTCAATGGAGCCGTCCCCCGAGCCGGTGTCCACACAGTGCAGCCACATGCCACAGTCACAGTTCAGGCATTGGCACAGGCTCTTCCCCGAAACCGGCAAGTTCTCAAACTTTACCCAGTTGGGCGTGGCAAACGCCACGATGACAGCCACCGTGGTGATGAGGACGCAGATGATGGCGGTGATGACAGTACAGGACGCCATGACGATGATGACAAATTCACCTTTTATTTCCAAACACAGATCTGGCACACACTTACAAATTAAATAAAACGTGAAGAGTTAATTTTCAGCACACTTCACTTTATAAATCCGGTAATGTTTCGAAATCTCTTTTAAATCCTCAACGCACAAGGAAACTCGATAAAAATAGATGGGACAAGCACTGCTAATCCAGTAGAATTGATTCCACAGAAATGCTTGACTCACTGATTAGGTTTCCAAAGAGACCACTCCATGTATTCTAATCAAAGACCTGTGAAAGGGAAAAAGCAGACCGACTGAAAAATGGGGCTTATTTTACCCAGAATTTTTCAAGGGAAGGAGGCCCTTCCTGTAAAATATTCAATATCAAAGTTCTGAGTATTGGAGATTACATACCAAAGACCATCAATGATTTATTTATAGAGGTACCAGCCATCCATGTCCAGGTGCTGTTTTAGCCTCTTTTTCCTGTATTCGGATTAATAATATCTTTTTGCCAATTTATTGGTTCCGCTTCTACGTACCCCATATCTATGGTTCTCAACCTGGAAATCGCCTATAATTCGCTGTAATTGCCCCCCCCCCTCCCTT